CAACGGATTGAACGACATGATGAATAAACTGAGAATTACGAAAATATTTTACTGATGACATTTTGAATTTAACTGTTAATATTGACATCCTCAAAACAATACTAACTTAAATTCACCGACATCTTTAAACCTTCAGAATTTAGTATGATGCTCGGGCAACTCTACTAATTCTTCGTTTCTTTAAAGAAGGGTTTTTCCAGAACCCATTAATTTCCATAAGTCAAAACCAATTTCATGACGAACGAAATTAATAATCGGTCACCTTTTGCCAATGCAATAAAAATCTCGCATTCTAAGTGAATCCCATTTCTTGGTCCTAAGGTCGTCAAAATCGATTATACGTTCACCTCGGGGTGACCCGTACACTATCATTCGATTTCCTCTAACCGTCTAAATTTAGAAATTCGTTCTGGTAATTATCCTTCAATTAATTTTCAAGTAATGTCATCCTCGGGGAAGCCCACACTATCAATTAATTGATTTACAAACGAATTAGAAATGGAGGCCTTAGGAATTTAAAATTATCTTAACTTTAAATATCCTTCTCAACTTAGTATTTTAAATGAGGATTTTTAATATATATATATATATATATATATATATATATGTATATGCAAATCTAAATAATTTTATGCACCCAAGGCAACAATTATTCCCATGCATAAATGAACAAATAAATAAATAAATAAATAATGCCATAAATAAATATCCACTATTATGGCCAATTAAATATTTATTCTCCTTGGATTAGGATTTCTGTCCTAAACCAACTGGAACTCCCACTGCAGTAGAATCCCGGTTGACTTGTACTGCAAGTTCCACAAAACCTCCACCAGTAGAAGCTGCGGCCGCGCCGACCAGCCTTGGCTCCCGGCTCCGGTTTATTCCTTGCTTTGTCGAGTCTCTTTGGATCTTTGTGAAGGCCCGGTATCCAACGGTCGATCACGATTCGAAAAATATAATTTACAAAATTACATAAATCGATTCCTAGATCCAACGAGTGGATGTACATGCCTTCTACTAATTAATTAAACTATCCGGTCAACCC